TTTAGGTAGCAATCAAGTTAATAAAAAAAGATAATATTGATTCATCCACAAGAATGAGTAAAGTAGAACGTGAAATTTCTGTATTGCGAGTAAGTTTCTTATATATATATATACGCGTAATATCAATGTATATTAAATAAATGAAATGGGATAAATATAGAAAGTACGACATCCATACATAGTAAAGCTATATGATGTGATTGAAACCGAACGATATATTGGTATCATTTTGCAGTATGCATCAGGTATTTATATATATATATATTATGTTGATGATATCGAACTAAATAACTAACACACGTATATATATGTGTATGTATGTATTATTTATAACTAATAGGAGGGGAACTTTTTGAATATATTCTTGCTCACCGATATCTTAAAGAAAAAGATGCTAGTCGATTATTTGCACAACTGATTAGTGGTGTACATTATATGCATCAAAAACATATTGTTCATCGAGATTTGAAACTGGTGAGAGCAAAAAAAAATAAAAGAAAAAGAAATGCAGTAGTAGTAGTAATATGGATGTAGGGGGGAGATGAGGTTGTGCACTATAAGCAACATGTGTAAAAAAGAAAGCTCCGCTTATATATTTTTATGTTTATTTTTAATGTTTGCTTTTTTTTTTTTTACTCATTGCATATAACATTTATGTATAACAACAGGAAAACCTACTTTTGGACCGAAACCGATGCATCATTATTACAGATTTTGGATTTGCTAACCAATTTGCATCCGCTAGAGATGATTTAATGTCAACTTCGTGTGGTTCTCCATGTTATGCAGCACCTGAACTAGTAATAAGTGAAGGATTGTATGTGGGTTCTGCTGTCGATATCTGGTCATGTGGTGTTATTTTATATGCCATGTTATGTGGTTATTTACCTTTTGATGACGACCCTGCCAATCCGGATGGTGATAATATTAACTTGTTATATAAATATATTCTCAATACCGAACTTGCATTCCCGGATTATGTGAGCTCAGATGCCCGTGACCTGTTACGGAAAATGTTAGTACCCGATCCAGCAAAACGATGTACAATGCAGGCGATTATGGTGCATCCGTGGCTCAGACCACATCGTATTTTGTTTGAAAAATCATTGGGTGATTTAGAATTGGATGCTATGGCTTCTGCTGGATTACCATTGCCACCCACTACACCCGTCGTTCCAACAGCAGATCATCGACAGAGACAAGAACAACAAGAACCTACACCACCTCCTCAAGAAGAACACCAAGTACCGAAATCAGAAGAATCACCAAAAGAAGAATCAGCAGCATCATTACCTAATGAACGAATGGATGATCAAATGGTACCGCGAGAGGATGAAGAGGATAAAATGGATATTGATTCTCCAGTACTTGTTCCTGAAGTTTCTTCACCATCATCAACACCCAAACCAATAGTAAATGATACCAATAATACCGAAGAACAAGATCGACATCAGAAACACGAGGTAGAACACCAAAAAGGTGAAAACTCAGATGAGTCTAAGAAAGTCGATCAAATTGTGGGTCAAACGGAATCGACTGAACTAGGACAACTTGAAAAAGAAGCAGATGAGCCAACACCATTGGCTCAAGTCGATACTGCTTCACGTGATATTTCATCCATGGAATTACCAGCTTCAATTCATACGGAGTCCATGAGTACTACTACAGCTGAAGATAAAGAAATGCCAGATGTTAATAATACGACAACGGTACCCACCGTAGTAGAATCACCTCAGCCTACTCGTACAACAAGTAAAAAGGTACATCAACGCGGTACAGAAATGATTAAGAATTTATTGTCAGGCACCAAATCTTCATCTTCATCACGACCGAATAGTATGAGCATGAACAATAGTAGCAATAATAACAATAATAGTCGACGACCCTTTTCCATGCAACCTGAACCTGCTCAACGATCTACCCCTCAACCTGGTAATTCAATTCTACATGCCAAGTTTTTATCAAGTGTTCAAAAGCAAAATGAAGTGGTGGCTGCTGCAGGAAGTAATTCTACATTGGCAGCAACCACGGCAAGTCATAGTAGATTATCTAATCCTAATGAATCACCATTGGCAAGTATGAGTACACCTAATGGTATGATGGTTACCGAAAAACCATTACCTCAACGACCTAGAGAATCATCACGTACAAGTATGTATCAACCTCGCCCAGTAGTACCTCCTCCTCCAACTACCACTGTTTCTACAACAACATCAACATCAAGTAGAGGTACACGACGTAAAGCACTTTCTTTGTTAGTAAATCCAATGACCAATCAAGATGGTGATAGAAGAACTATTTCATTTACTACTCGAAGGCCAGCAAGTCGTCAACCACAATCTACAGCTGTGCGTCAGCAACAGCAGCAACAACAACCTCCATCATCACCTCGTCCAGATGTTAAATTGGTTGTTCCTAAAGAAGAACCACGACCTCAATCAACAGTTTCTATGGCACCTTCTGCGTCAGAACAAAGTATAACTAGATTACCTCCAAGTCCAATATCACCCGATACAATGAGTAGAGAATATAAGCATAAGAGTGCCGGTAAAAAACTTATGGATTGGTTTAAAAAGAAGCCACTGAGTAAGTTTTTCTTTCTCTTATTTTTCAAGAAAAAAAACCCCTTATTTAAAGCGGGTGGGAAAGAAACTAATTTAGTAAATTAATTTTCTTTGTTCAGGTACCAAAGATAACAATAATCGATTACATGCTGATATGATAATGAACTCAGGTGGTGGAACACGTGGAGTATCCAATATAAACAAACCACTTGGATCTTATGCAGTTGACTTTAAAGACGCTAAATTACGTACTTATCATGGTGCTGTTGATCAAAATGCTCTTACTTCACGCTCACCTCAAGAAGTCCTCATTGAAGTCAAACAAACACTTATATCTATGGGTATTGATGTAAAAGATGATGGAGAATTTAAACTTAAATGTGTTCGTCGTAGACGTAGATCTTTGCAGCAACAACAACAACAAGAACAGCAAGGAAGACAGCAACAACCTATAAATAGTCCTTCACCATCACCATCATCTCAATTAAATGATATTCATAAAAAACGACGTATGGCGTCAACAGGTCCAAGATTCCGTAACCTTTTGAGACGTGCAAGTAATACAGGAGAAACTGCTGTTGTCGATGAAGACAGACCTGCTCTACCCAACAGTAACAATAGTAATGCTAGCGTTAATGAACGTAACAATAGTAATAGTATTATTTATGGTGATCCTGTGGTTGACCCTGGAGAAGAAGTTCGATTTAGTATGGAATTATGTAAAATTAAAAATTTGCCTGGTTTATACATTGTTGATATTCGTCGTATGCGAGGTAACGTTTGGTCTTACAAGTTCTTATACCATGCTGTATTGGGTGTATTGGATTTGGGTGGTAAAGGTGGTGGATACATGTCAACTCGAGCTCCATCCACTACCGCAGCAGCAAACAACAATGATGAAAAATTACTTCGACCTCCTCAACAATCACATAATATTAATGAAGAAGGTCAACAAGAAGATGATAAATTACAACGCATTAGTATGGCAAGTAGTAGTAACAACAGTAGCTGTGTTATGGATGACACTACTTTATCCGAAGAAAAGACAACAGAAACAATGTCTTAAAAGAATTCCCCACAACCCTCAAACTCACCCATTTATCATTCTTATTACCAGTATTATTATTATTATTATTTCTTATTATAAACACCAAAAAAAAAGTTTGCTTTCATTTTTTTTTCCTCCTTTTTTTCCCACTTACTCTCTTCCTCTTGCTTGATTCACAAACACTTTTTTTTTATTTTACCCATATACACACATACACTCATATATACACCTTTACACCAAATATATTCCGAATACCCCTTCGACCATCCTCTTTTTTTTCTACTCTTATTATTATTCTCGTTCATCACAACAATACAAATACAAATACAATTCAATTCAATAATTTAACTTAATTTGATTTATTATTCATATTTATTTATTTACGAAAAGAAAAAGAAAATGAAAAGAAGAAGTGCTTTTCTTCCATCATCTATCAATCTATATATGTAGATACAATTTAAACTTTTTTTTTGTATCTTCTGTATATTATAGTGTTCTATGTCTGCTAATAAGTACAAGTATTTGTTCCAGTGAACAATTTTTAATGTTTCTTATTGTTATAATTACATAATAATGGTGTTACTAAAATTTCAATTTGAAAGTTTCAATATTATTCTATATATCGATATCACTTTTACATATATCTAATCAAAGACACTTTTATCCTTTCTATTTTTTTTCTTATTTTTCTTTTATGCTATTATATTACCATATTATGATTATTATAATTACTATCGAGAAACCAAAAAATTGTAGCGAAGGAAAGAGTAACCGACGATATCTCCAAGTAACATTCTTTTACTTTTACTATAAATTCTGCTTGTTATACAATGCTATCAACAAAGCGTATTGACGACTTGTGGCTACTTTGATGTTAAGGCAGTGGAAGAAAATAGTTGCGTCCGTCACATATACTACGAACGAACTTTGATCCCGTCTTATGACAGCCTTTGTTCTAAGAATAATAATAACACATTGTCGCCGTGGTTGAATACTTAATATTTTCAAAAGCCAATACAGGCACTCGTGTTATATATATATATGTGTGTGTGTGTGTGTAATGCAGATCCATATACTTTTCTTCTAGAGCTGTCAATAAATCCAAAATTTTGGGCCGAACGATTAATATCTGGTTTTGGACACTATATATTCTAACACCCGATCATAGTACCTTTCTTCTTCGATCAAATAGACGAATTTATATTGTTATTATTGGTCCAGCAGTTTACCACCACACTATTATCATCCATCGAATATAAGGTAAAAACATTTCCCGAAAAGTGTGAAAAAAAAAGATATACAATGTTGATAATGAAAAACTATGATCAATAGATTTAGAACAAGATGATGCATATCTAGCTATAACATCTTAACTAAAATCATTTTTGTGCCCCCGGAGAGAATCGAACTCTCGATCTTCGCTTTACGAGAGCGACGCTATACCACTAAGCCACAAGGGCGCGCTTTCTCCGAATTATGCGCAAATAATGAAATTGCAAAAGTTGAATATTAGAAATATAAAAATACCATCCAATAATATTGCGCAATGTACAGTTATTTTATTCCCAGCTATATATTTTTTTCAGGTCATTTGAACTCAAGAGAATAAAATACGAGATGGTTACTAATAGTAAATAACCTATTATTTTGTATTAAATTAAATTCATCAAGTTATATTTGTATATTATTGTGATAATTGTTGGATTAGTGCTCTTCTTTCTTTAATAAATTATAATTGTCATCTTTCCAGTTGGGTTGCTGTAGCTACTTGACTAAAAAAATTAATTACGGTATAACCTTTGCTGCTAAAATTATATTCATATTTATAAAAGTATCCTTTAGTTTTATTTATTCTTTTCGTATAGAAGAAAAGTCATTTAATTGCTAGAAAATTGTAACGGATAATATGAATACCGTTTTTTCTTTAGAGAAAAAACCCCAGTCAATTTATTTCTTCAGATTATTATATGTTATCACAAAAGCTACGAAAAAAAAGTACAAAAAGTCGGTTATTATCATTACTATAGATTTATAATATAAATTTAATTGCTTGAATGATAGCAGAAAAGTGCAGTTTCTATCTACTTGCTGATTATACTTGTTTTAGTTGTTGTGGACACCAGCTTGGCAAGTTAATTGTTATTATAGTTACCAAACAATAAGTTTTTTTTTTACAAGATCAAGATAAAAAAATAATAATAAATATTTATCCAAAACAAAATATGATTGTTGTTATTATGCGTAAATAAATAGTACACTAAAATTATTTTTACTACTAATAAATAATCGATATTAAAAAAAAGTACCAATAAAAAAGAATGATATAAAGTACAATGGATGAAAAAAAGAAGTGAAAAAAAAAACTATATCATATATATATATATATATATATATACGATTGTACATCTAAATTATTAATCTACAGTTGCTCTAAAAATGGGGTACGCCAAAAGCTCTTAAAATGAGGTTGACAATAGCAAATGTCCCTTCACCGAGTACAAAACCACTTGCAACAATAATAATAAAGACCTTGCCAACTTGTCGACGATACAACCCAAATATTTTGTTCAAAGTTGTATTGTCCTCTTCTTGTTGTGGGTTATTATCACAGTATCGATCCCACCAATGTCCTAGGAAACCGCCAATCACTCGCGCCAAGGTAAAGTTGGGCGGATTATACATGCCGATAGCAAAAGCAATACCTTGAGGAATATAACGTCTCCATCCAGCATTTTCTGCGCCTGGTTTGAGCTCTTTAAGTAATACCAAAACAGCAAAAATAAAAGAGAAAAGTAAAACAAATTCAGAAACATGGGGTGGAAGTGGATGTCCATTGACAAGTCGAGACATATCTAGCCATACATGAGCTGTAGGTACCGGGAATTCTGGACCTGGAATGGTATAGACTGTGGTATACAGTTTGTATGCAGCTGTATATAAATATATTAAGAAAAGTTTCATCAATATCATTATTAATGATTCCTTTGTTCATATCGTTATTTACATAAAATATTTTTTTACCTGTAGCAACAAATGCGCTGAAAAATGATCCAATAAGCTGTCCATAAAATTGTGCTTTAGGTGACGCTTGTAATAAATGACCCGTTTTTAAATCTGTTCGATCCAGTTAGTATTGACGTTACAGCATTAAAAAAGTAAAATAAAATTCATTATATAATTTACCTTGCATCAGATCACCGGCTTGTTGTGCGCCTAAATTATTGTAATTAAAAAAAAAGAAGTATTGGTATCAGCCATATATGTATAACCAAACATATTAAAGAAAGGTATATGTGTAAAGATTTCTTACCTGCTTCAGCAATACCCCCAGCAAGTAAATTTGCTGCGATTCCACCGGGCATAGCCAGTGCAAAAATTACTTGGCTAATTTTACCAATACCACTTACCTATACAATATCATTATCTTTTAGTTTTTCCTTTCCATTATAAAAATAAAAATGAAACAACATATTTTTGTAATTTTAATCTTACTGGATTTAAATCCGTTTCACCCAAAGCTCGGACAGCCAAAACGCTAAGGAACATGGCAACAGCAACAGCTAAAATAGCCATACGAATAGGAAGAACATCTGTACCAAATAAAATAGCAATAACACATACACATAATATTGTTGATCCTATTAACCCAATAATCGTAGTTAATGGTTTGACAAGTTGATCTGGTGGAGCATCTGGTTCTTCTTCTTCGTTTATTCTTCTTCCTTCCTCTCCTTCACTCCATTCTTGCTCAATATGTGATTCAGCAGCTTCAGCACTTTGATCATTTGAAACGCGCTGATATCTTGCACCTTGGTGCTTCGTTTGATGGTTTGCCAGTTTGATAATGGAACGTACTGCTACAATACCCAATGATACAACAGATTCTGCAATCATGACGCCTAATGATATCCATAAAATCCAACCTTTTGATCCGGTTTTCCAATCTGAAACAGGACCTGGTGCCCATCCTGCATAATGTGCAATGGGTGATAAGATTCCCCATCCAATTATACAACCCAATAACATTGAAAGTGTTGTTGGTAATCCCTATTTGTTCCACACAACCCATACAAATTATGCATCAATCAAACCGAAAAAAGGATAATCAACCACAAAATATAAAAAGTTGTTTTTCTTTCTTTCCTTACCATGATGATGCCTTGTCCGACATAACTTAAACTTGGTGTAAAAACCCATTCCCATTTTGCAAAATCAACAAGGTTAAAACTTATCCAATTAAATAACGGAATTGCATAAATAATTGGAAAAAAATAAGACACAAGCGTGTACGCTGATGATGCAGTGAAGGAAATAAGAAGTCCTCGTAATTTTAACGACCAGTCTTCTTCATTTTGTTGATTTAGTTGTTGTTCGGAAGTAGATTGTTCAGAGTGAGAAATAGGAGTAAGAGGAACGCCCGATTGGTTTGATCCAGTGGATGTGGGAGAATATGTCGGGTTTGAAGAGGACTCAAGTAAAGGTCGATCTTCATTGTCTAGAGCCGAATCTCGGCCAGTTTGATGGCGACGCCGTAAAACTGGTTCTTCTTTTGGATCTTGATGTAATAGTGAGATCATTTGTGCTGTTGCTGTACCAGAAGGGAAACGTAACTTTTCACGAATAATCGTTTGTTTTCGAAGTGGTACGGCAAAAAATACACCAAAGAATGCAACACCAAGAGACCAAAGGACAAGCTGCCATCCCGATAATATAATAGGTCCATCTGGATGATCACTAGTTGTTAAAAGTCCCAATGCAGGAATGATACCAACAAATCCTAAAAAAAAGTATGAGGCCGTATATATATAGAAAAAAAAACCATAGTTTAATAACCAATATTATATATTATCGGTCCCCTAATTTGAGTAGAACGAACCTGCTGCTAAAGGCATGGTAGCTGTAGCAACTGCTGTTGTTTGTAGTACGACGTTTTCAACAGGCCCAAACGGTACACGGAGCTTATCACGGAATGGTTTGAATATAGCATAACCAAGCAATGAAGCCTGAAGTGACATCATTGAGATCCACCCTGTTTGAAGTCCAAAGTACATGTTTGAAAAACACATTACACTTCCGATGAGTAACCCCACTACGGTTGCCCGTAACTATGAAATGGGGTATTGTCAGTTGAAGAAGTGATCATTTATTAAAAAATAATAATTATGAAATAAAGATAAAGGTATATGGGAACTTTACAGTAAAGTGTCGCTGCGATTCTTGATCGCTCGAACGAGGTTGCCTGTTATCTTTTATATTTAAAAAATGGGTTATCAACATGGTGCTATTGACATTGGGCCAATAAAATGATCAACCAACCTTGAACTGATCCGGATTGTGAAATGGTTGCCATGCAAAAGAACGAAAAGTTCAAGTTGCGTTTGATTATTAATTCACAAACCCCTATTTTTATATGAAAATAAAAAAAGCCCGTCCATCAAAATTATTGCGATATTTCCCCCTTCAATGATACAATTACAGGTATAAGCTCTCATGAATACAGATGACCAATAATGGAATTATTTAAGAGTTTATTATATATACGTATATTTATACAAATGGTTGTTTTATGATATCAGGATATTATTAAATATTAATATTATTTAAGAGAAGATAATTTTTATACAGAAGCTGCAAGCTCTTTTACAAGTTTGGTTTTTGGATGATCTGGGCCAAATACTATGGATCGTACTTGAGAAGCATGATCAAATGCTTCTTTTGCTTCCTTTCGCCATCGTTTATTCAGCGGAACACGGTCACTATTTTTGCTTGCCATAAGTTGACATAATTCACCCAAATTTTGCCAAAAATCAGATATTTCCGGTGTGTTCTTTGGTAAGTTTTCTTTGGCATGAGCTTCCATGGTTTCGATAATGTAACGATTAACATTAATTGCGGCATTGATATCTTGACTATGTCGAAGACAATTCATAAGAGGGATGGATGCATTGAATCGGATAGCATTACGTGGATGCAAGTCACCACCTTTCACCTTTTCCATTTTTGTTGAGTTATTGTTAGATGATGACACCAAAGGTTCCAATTTTGCCCGTGCCCCACGATAATCTCGTTGTCTTCGAATAGCCATCATTCCTTCCATATACATTTGTTGTGCCTGTTCGATCGTGGAAGTAACTGATTGAGCTGAAGCTGCGCTACCACATTTGGCACATTTCCATTCTCCGCTTGAGTCCAAAGGTTTTCCTTGAGTCAAATCTTCCATGGGTGATGGTGGAATAACATAAACATCTTCATGGCATTCTTCACACATGATACTTTGTAAAAATCGATCGACAGATTGTTCCATAGGTGAAGTACATCGCTTGCATTTACACCAAAAGTTTTTAGAGTCCAAAAGATCTTGTCGGCGTTCATCCCGTGACGCATATAAGTCAATATAGGTGACCGTCAGTTCTTCGCCTTGTTTCACAGGTCGAATAGTTCTGAAAGTAAGTTGACCATG